CCCTGCCTGCTGCGGTTTGGACCGGGGCAGCGGGGGAAGGAGTGGGGCGGGGCGGCGGCGATGGGGGCAGGGGCCGCGCCTCCTCGTCAGCGGAGCAGCTGCGAAGGCGGCCCGTGGTCACCCAGCGTTATTCATGCTTCTAAATATAAAAGCATGGGCTGTGTATTTGGGGATGACAATGGGGAGTCTTTAGATGAAATATCCTGTGGAAAATACCACGCGGGACGAGGGGTTTCTATTTTGAGCGCGCTGGTGCCGGCACGAGCCCGATGCAGCCCGGTGTCGGCTGAGATGCGGCGCCCTCGAGGCTCTGCCTGCGTTTTGCTCGTTTGATTTTGTTCTCGTGCCCTCGCTTGTTTTGTTTTTAACCCCCCTCCCTTGTCAAGAGCCATTTCAAACCAGTTTCTTTTTGTGACTGGCTCTGCAGAGGAACGACATTGCGATGGCCATCACCAAGTTCGACCAGTTCGACTTCCTGATTGACATTGTTCCCCGAGACGAGCTCAAGCCCCCCAAACGGCAGGTACGAGAAATAATCGCTCGGCCGTATTCCAGCATTTCGGTCCTGTCCAGGGAGGGAATGAAGACTTTTGTGTGTGTGGGGGGGGGGATTGAAAAAACCCTCACAAAGATAGTGTAGGCGCACAGGGTCGAGAGTGGAAATTGAACAAGAGGAAGTTGAGTCTCTTCCGCCTTCGTGAGCAAGTTCTCTGACCTCTGTGGTAGTGAGGAGGCTGATCTTGTCTCTGACAGCTGGGGGCGCTGTAAACATCCTTGACTGGAAGCTGTGTGGAGACCGGATGGGCTTTCAGTCGGATGTTTGCAGCGGCCGGCTGCCACTTTGCCCACGAGCCTTGTTGTGAAGTTTCCGTCGGGGGGTCTTGAGTTTTTCCCGGGGGCTCCCCGGCTGAGAGGGGCTGAGAGAGCCGGGCGTGAGCCGTGGCCAGGGCTGTGTGTAAGGGGTGTAAACATCCTACACTCTCAGCTGTGACAACAGGGAGCTGGGAGAGGGGTGTTTACGCTCTTTGCCACAGAAGGCGGTGCAGCTGCAGGGCCAGAGGGTGAGGTCTTCACTTCCGGTCCCGCCGGGTCACGGGAGCGCAGGCGGCACAGGGACCAGGAGGCCTGGGGGTGGCTTTGTATCGATCCGGTACGGTCGCTAAGAGCCCAGCTGGCGAGAACAGACGCGCTTGCGTCTCTCCAGGACCAGGATCAGGCGTGAGGATCGCTGCTGTAGCCTTAAGGAGCTCCAGCCGGGCGCTGCACGTCCAGGACTGCGGAGTGTGTGGTCAGCTTCCTTCGTGGTTTCGCAAGGCGGTGCTTGATCGTAGCTCTGTGTGTCTTTTAACATGTATTCGTTTGTTGTGTGTCGCCTTCCAGTGTTGAAATGCCGTATTTGAGCTGCCTCTGACTTCTGCTCGTGTTGTGTGTGTGTGTGTGCCTGTCTCTTGCACAGGAGGAAGTCCGCCAGTCGGTGGCGCCGGCGGAGCCCGTGCAGTATTACTTCACTCTGGCGCAGCAGCCGGGGCCGGTGCAGGTCCAGGGGCAGCAGCAGGGACAGCAGGCCGCGGCCCCGGCCACCACCGCGCTGCAGCCTGGCCAGATCATCATCGCCCAGCCGCAGCAGGGCCAGGTGAGGCTCGGGGGAGCCCCACCCCCCCCCGGGGCTGAGAACTCGGCTCGGGGTTCACTACGACACCCTGCAGACCTCTGTGGTTGTGGCCCCATTCAGACAGACCTTGGCCTGTTTAATTAAGTTGGAGTTTACCCCTAGGGGGTCTCCCTTCAGCAGTGCGGCTAGGCTGCTGAAGCAGCACATTTGCAAAAAGGTTTGAGGTTCCTTGGCCTTGTGCTGCTGCTTGACCACCCTGCAGGGTCCGCGCTGTGACATAAGAACTTCTATCACTAAGGCAGAACCTACGCCATTTTGCCGCCACCAGCCCCGAGACCAACCTGTAACCCGTGATGTATAGAAGAAGTGCTGAATTTATCCAGTGTTACTTATCCTGGGTCCAGTAAGTCAGGTCATGACCCCTTTGTGTTCCATGTGCACAGCGTGACAATGACTTCTGCGGCACCACTTCTGTCTCTCCATCATGGGTTCGCTTCAGTGCTGGTGGCGGTGGTAGAAGTGACCAGGCTGTGCCCCCTGTCTCGTGTGTTGCTGAGGGCCCCTGGTATCTGTTAAGTTGTGCTTCATGTTGATACCTGAATCACTCCAGTACTTCAGTGCAGATTTCTCCTCCTCATTAGCCATACTTACTGCTTACACCTCATGTCCACGCAGGACTGGCCATTGTGTGTCATTCATTGCTCTGTTTTTCTGCGCTTAATTTATCAAGAAGCAGCCAGTAAGGGGTGAATACTCCAGTGTGCTTGTGCTTAGATTTGCCGTTGGTCAGTTCTGGGCCAGGCCACACTTCTCTCTTCTGTGTACTTGTCAGAAGCTGGAAACACTTCCAGTGAATATAGAGGTGTCTTCTCGACAGGTTGTCATTACAGCAACGTCCTTATAGAACTTCAGTGCTCTGTTGATTCTATTTTTAAGTAGTGTATGGGTGGGTTTTTAAATTTGATAATTGAAAGTGAATGTTGCTTTATGGTGAAGTGATAGAATAGAGGTTTCCTCTGGCTGCTCTGTTTTCCTCCCACAGTCCCAAGACATATTGGTACGTTAATTAGTTTGTGGGGGGATTGGCCCTGGTGTGTTTGTCTGTGTGCCCTGCAGTGGCTAGTGTCCTGTCCAGGGTGTATCCAGCCTGGCTCCCATTGCTTGCTGAGATAGGCTCTGCCTCCCCCACAATCCTGGATTGGGAGAAGCGGTTAGGAAATGGATGATATCTGTAGAAATCTGTATTTTCAGACCTGGATCGAAATGTTCAGTTTCAGCAGAGTTCTCATGTCAAGAAGCTAAGCAAGGCTGGGCCCAACAAGTGCAGGGATGGGGTTGTGTCCCTCCAGGGAAAGCCACGCTGCTGGTGAGCCAGCAGGTGGCGCTCTTGTCTCTGGACCAGAGTTTCCAAGCCAGTGCCCCAGTATGGTGGGCCTGTCCTCCAGGTGAGCTGTAAAACGGAGCTCCTGACTGGTTATTAAACAACCCAGGATCATGTTTGTAAGAGTAGGGGTGTTACTCTGGCGTCCTGGTGAAATTTAACTCGGTGCTTATACAGTATGTCCTCCCTGAATCTCCCTCTTAATTCAGCTGGTGAAGCCGTTTCCCACCCCTCCCTCTACCCTGCTGTGTTGGGGGGCTGCAGGTGTAGAAGAGGCACTTCTAGCGGTAGGTGGGTTGGGTCCCCTCCTAATCCCTATTTTGCTGCAGTTGAAAATTCTGTAATGCCCTGCAAATATATAAAGCACCGAAATTGTTCTCTTTGTAGTGAAATAAAAAGATAGACATTTTCTAGTGCCTTTTGCTTCTGTGTTTTTCGAACTTGCTGTACAATTAATGTCCGTTTGTACAGCTGAAATCGGTAGCAGTTCAGTCCAACTTTCTGCATCTCAACTGCTTGCCCTTGCGGGGAGACTGAGCTGAGGTCTCTGGTACGGAACGTGAAGACCACTTCAGCTGCAGCGTGCGAGGTGAAGGCTGGAGGCTCTCGCGCAGCCGTGCTGTAACAGTGCGTTCGTGTGCATACATGTCTTCTGCCCTTCTCGCTTGCTCTTGCAGTAAAGCTCTCTCCTGCCGGAGTGCCGTTTGTAGGTGTTACAAGAAGCCACTGTGCAGCAGCTGTACAAGGGCAGGTTGCATAGTTGAAGAGCAGAGCCTCCCCCATCATGGTACTGATCTCGGGGTGGGGGGAAAGGTGCAGGAGAGGAAGAGGAGGAGTTTGGACGCTGCGATCTTGACACAGGGCCTAATGCAACTGTGACAAAACGCCAAGCCTACAACCAGTAAACGCAGCAGTATCTGGGCTAGCCTGGCCATGTTCACCATGCTTATAACAAAGCTGTGGACGTGCCGCTGTTTTTAGATGGCGTCCAATTTTGACATGTCTGGGCTCTACAGAATACAGGAGTGCAGCACATGTAACTGCTGCCTTTTGACCTTGGAGATTGTATTTAGTTGGCAGCAGCTCTGCTGGTTCTGCTGGGTCATGTCAGGACTGCAGTGGGACCCCTCCCACCAAGAGACAGCTCGATTGTCTCAGTGCTGTTGGTGGTTGACCAGCAGGTGACTGTCTCTGGGCCAGAGCTTCCTGACCTATGCCCAAGCAAGTTGTTGACAGGCAGGCACTGTGCTGTCCACACTGTGGATGTTCGAGATCCCAGGACGCCCTACATAACGTTAAGAGAGCAGACATCAGGCGTCTGAGCCCAGATCTTGTAGAAGTTAACCTGACCAACATCCGACTGCTGTCATTAGAAATTCTGCCCCACCCACACTCTCTCCACAGATATCTCAGGAGATCTTCCTAGTAGATAAAGGTGTATATATTAACCATTTAGTGGTATGAAGTATTTCAAGTCTAGCACTTGTACACTATCCTGTCGGTAAGTGTAATGCTGGGAAGTTGCAAATACTTTGGATTACGTTCAGCTACCATGTTGGCTGTGAATGTTGAACGTCGGGGCTAAATTTACATTTTAATTGGAAGTCTTTCATACTCCAAATGAACTTTGCTCTGTTAGTGCATAGTGACTGTTAATGTAAGGTTTGCGCCTCGGAAGGTCTTCTTTTCCCAGACTTTATTTGTTTACACTGACAGCTGTCTGAAATCGTGCTTCCTTTGCTGTGTCACTGTCAGTCATCTCAAAATATGTAATACTCAGTACAGATCATTTTGCTAAATCCTGATGGGGAATGTTGACGCTGCAGTTGCTGGTTCGGGGAGGTGGGGGGAGTGGCGGTGAGAAGTGGTGCATTCCTCTTTACGGTTTTTATTTTTGCTTCTCTGTCCTAGAGTGCACCTGTGACGATGCAGGTCGGGGAAGGGCAGCAAGTGCAGATCGTGCAGGCAGCTGCGCAGGGGCAGACGCAGGCAGCGCAGCCGGCAGCAGGGCAGACCATGCAAGTCATGCAGCAGATCATCACCAACACTGGGGAGATACAGCAGATACCAGTGAGTTTGAGACTCCATATTGATGCCGGTTGTAAAAGTTACAAGCCAGATGACGACGTATTTTGGTTTGTCTTTGATAATGCTCTGGTTTTTTTTTCCGAAATTGTTTGTAAAGGGTGACCTGCTGAAATGTGTGGCTTTGTCTCCCCCTTGTGGTGGCTCTGTGCAGGTGCAGCTGAACACCGGCCAGCTCCAGTATATCCGGCTGGCTCAGCCCGTCTCCGGGACCCAGGTGGTGCAGGGGCAGATCCAGACTCTAACCACAAACACTCAGCAGGTACTGCGTCTCTCAACTGCTTTCTGAGCCAGCAGTATCCTTCCTTAAGATGTGAGAAGGCACATGTGGCTTGGCTGGTGAATCGTGCGTAGCAACTCTCACAGTGTAACAGCTGCCATGAGAGGAGTGTAAGTCCAAGTGTCTAAGAGCACAACGTAACGTTTCTCCTGTTCTTCCTGCGTGTAGATATCGCAGACGGAGGTGCAGCAGGGACAGCAGCAGTTCAACCAGTTCACAGACGGCCAGGTGAGACAGATGGCCTTTGCTCTAGCTTTTGCTTTCCTGTTTATTCCTTTTTCACGTGTGTTTCCCGCACTGCCCGCGTGGCGGGGCCCTAACGCCGCTGTTGTTGCGCGTCCTGTGTTTCCAGCAGCTCTATCAGATCCAGCAGGTGACCATGCCGGCAGGGCAGGAGCTGGCCCAGCCCATGTTCATCCAGTCCACCAGCCAGAGTGCGGACGGCCAGGTCACCACGCAGGTCACTGCGGACTGAGACCCCCAGGGCCCCCCCAGGAACTCGCAATAACACACTGGTCCAGAAACAGAGCTGCGCCTCTCCCTCCCGCCCCCCCTGTCTTCCGCCCTCCCCGAGCTCTCCGACTTTGGTGAAGTCTGCTGCGTGCGTGTGTCAGTGTGAGTGTGTGTGTGAGAGTGAGAGAGTGCAACTTCTGTGCCAAAGCCCCCTCTGGACACGTTCGCTGAGGGCAGAGAGGATCCAGCTTTGGGGAGCTAAACATATAAAACATCACAATTTCAACTTTTGTTTCATCTGAAAGATCTTCTTGAGCGCTGGAACTGTCTTTTTTTCCTGTTTTTTTTTTTACATAAAAACAATACAGTGAGTGGTACTTGTCCCAGTGTCATTTGCTGCCTTCAGGAGCAGCTGGTTGTGTTGTATTAAAGGGAATACGAAGGGTTTTGAGAACTCGGAATCCTGTTAAGCTGAAGGTGAAGAGCAAGATAAGGAGTCCTGTTCTGAATTTGACCTTATCCCTCTACGTTTCTCCTGGGCTCAGCCTGCCTGCCTCCCAGCTGTGATGGGTGTTGTCGTGTGTTGCGTGGTTTAAGTGGCCCATTTCTCCCTGTAGTTTCTAAGCCCCTTCCATTCTGCCTGACGTCGCCTGAGACTGGGAGTCGGAGACCAGGGACTCTCCAGGATGAAGAGAACAACTCGTTTGGGCTTTTTGTAAGCTTAGGTCATCAAATCCCATCCTTGTTCTGACAAATCCCAGTGCTGGTGCTTGGATCAGGCAGAGATTAATGGACTTGAAACCCCCCCCCCCCACCCTGCTTCGGAGTTAGTGCCAGTAAATTGAATTAAATCTTTATTTCTGATTCTTTGCGAAATGCTGTAGGAAGCTTAGTGTCATCTTAGTGTCTGTGGCAGTGTTTCTGTTGCAGATGTGTGTGTGTGTATATATATATACCTCTGTTTTCAGTGTCTCTTGAACCTTGTCTTTGGCTGTTGTAAAAAGAGGTTAGTCCTTAGTGTCAAAGACCCTGTCAGACAATGTAAGGGGCTCTGGGGTTCAGTGGCAGTCCTGAGCTTTACAACCACAGGAGAAGGGTCTTGTTTCAGCTTCTGTTTGGTTTGTAAGCAGCAGTTCTTTGTGGTCCCTGACTGGGTGGTAAACGTTCATTCTAACAAATCTTTCAGAATTATTGTTATTGCAACTATTGCTGTTTAAAAGCAGCAGTATAAAACAGGGACTCATGAGAGGCATCCTAGGAAAACTTCATGACATGACGAGGTTGGTAGGAAAATGTACTGAACTGGAAGCTCTGCATTTCAAGCGTTCTTTCGTTTTCTTTGTTTTAGCTGAAGAAGCACTATTTGATAGCGACCTTTGTAAAATGTGGACATATGTGAAACCTGATGCTGGCAAAAAAAAAGAGGAATTGGAAATTGTATCTGTGGCCCTGCTGGGAACCTTTGTGATGTTTGTGATCTGGTGATGTGCTGTGACGTCTGCGTGCAGGACTGGGAGAGGGCTGGCAATGCGTGCCAACCCCTGTGCCCTACGGGGTGTCCAGGGCTGTGCCGGGGCTCCTGGTGGGCAGTGCGTCTGGGCTGTGAAGTAGTGTGTGCGTGTGTGAGGAAGACGGGGAAGTGGAGTTCAAGGGTTGCCTGTAGAGAAGAAAGTCTCCACGCTTTTATTGTCGCTGTTGAATGTTCTGTAAATAGTCGCCCCCCCCTTCTCTGCCTGTCTGGACCAGTCTCTGATCAGGAAACTGCCTCCCCTTCTTCCTCTCGAATCTGTTTTATAGCAGAAATGGTCAGTCCTGGCGCTCAGGGCCACTGGTCTCCTGTTCGTTCTCCCACACCTGGGCCTTTAATTACTATACTGTAATTAGTAATTACAGGCACATCCTTTTAAAGTGTGGGTGTCCCTTCCCTTGGCCAGGGGCGTGGACTTCAGTATTAAATGTGGGCGACTTGTGTTCTTCACAAGGGTGCTGACCTCCGTCAGCTCGACCCCTGAAGGGAGGGGTTAAAGGGAAGCTCCGCCCGAGGTGTGACGGCGAGGCCCCGCCCCCCTGTCCGTCTCTGTGGGCCAGAACAGCCGCCGGGCTGTGGCTCCCAGCACCAGGGCTCGCCAGCACTGTAATATAGCGCCACTCTTTGTAATAGTCATGTAGATTTTGGTATTTTGGATATATACAGTATATTTTCCATTTATTCTCCCTCTTTTTGTACTTTTAGTGTTGTTTTCGCATGTAGTTAAAGCTGCCAGCATGAAAAGCAACAGACATTTATAAATATTTTTTTCTGTCTATTAAGTGTTGTGCTTTTTTTTTTTTTTTTTTACTTTTGGTTTGGGAGAAAATAAAAGAAGGAAACAATGAGACTTGTGTATGCAGCTTCTTTTTCTGTAGTGATTGTTTTTTACTCACACCCAGAAAACCACATTGGAGGAGTGACCTTTTCTGACCTGCAGTAGGAGGAACAAATATCGTTCTGTGTATCTGCATCTGCCTATTAGCCGTGAACCTCAGCCTTACTATTAAAATGTTTTATATTCGTATTACAAGGACTTTAGTGCAGAGCTCAGTAACTCATCACGTGGTGCTGAGCCAAGATTGAATCTACATTTATTACCAGCGAGTGTTTCAGAGGTGGCTTCTTTCTTGCAGGAATGCAGAAATTAATTTTGGAGATAACTCGCATGAGTGTGTGTGTGAAGGGGATAGAGGAAGTTTTGCTGAATTCTAGTTAAACAGCAGGGCAGTGGCGTCTGCAACCTGTACCTCGGCCACTGGACAGATCCCGGATGAGCTGTAGTCGTCCTGCTCCCTCCCTGGGATCACAGGGCTCTTCAGGCTTGACTCGTCTAGAATCCAGTGTCTTTTCAAACCACCAGCTTTAAGATACCTTAAAAGAAAAACGGTATGGGCCCAGCGACGTCCATAATTGAGTTCAGGGAGGTAAAATAAGAAGCTGGGGCTGTCGGATGAACTGGAAAGACTGCAGTTTCTCGGGCTCTGACATCACCTGTGCCGCACTACTGCCTTCACACCACTGGGTGGCAGCACACAACTGTCCTCGTGGTAGGGTTAGTATTTCTCTGTTAATTTATTCCCTACATTCCTGTTCCAGGTACTAGCAGACCACAAGCTGTGCAGGCAAGGCAGCTGTTTATATATTTTATACTCATCTGAGGCGATGAGATTGACTGCAGTCTGCCAGGCTTCCTTCTTTACAAAGCAGTACAGAACACGTGAAATGACCCCTCTATTCCCTGTTTCTCTGGAGTCTTGCCTATTTTACTCCACCAGCCCTGTTGTTGGAACTTGACTGAAGCGGCAATTCCATTGAAATCAGTGACACGGTCATAAAGGTGTCTTAAATGGATTCTCCCTTGTTCTCTTTAGTGACTGGTTTTGCACAGAGCAGCTTGTGCAGTGGGGGTTCAGTCACCTGGTTTAAGGCTTCAGAAGAAGGGGTGGATTGCCTTCAAGCATGTGAGCCGAGCCACAACGGGCTCCAGCAGCACTGCCGCAGGAGGGAGTCTGGGGCCGGTCCCTCTCAGCTGGTCGCAGTTCCCTCGCCTGGGTGTGTTTTCATATTTTTGGGGGGCGGCAGCGAGTGTTGGTTTGTTTATTTTTCTGTCTGACAGAGAGGACTTTCAGACTTCGCTGGGCTTCGGTGCGCAACAGGCTTGTTTAGCAGCGGTAAATCTGCTGTCGCTTGTGCACTTGGCAGTGCAGGGGAAACCAGCAACACAAAGCTGGCTTTTCACGAAAACCGCCGTGTGGATGAGGACCAGACCGGCGCTGAAAGCCCACACTGTTGCGTAAAGACGTTGAGCAACAATCAGTCCATTAATGAGGACTGAGAGGGACTCAGCTGGCCTAATAAGGAGATCCCTGGACGCAGAGAAATGTTTTGCCAAATCCAGTAATGAGCAGGACTGATTTGATCCTCTGGTATTTGGGGGTTCAGGAAGCCGGGGTGCAGCCCTGGGGCTCTTGCCAGCCCTGAGCCCCGAACTCAAACGGGGGGGATGAGTTCCCCTCCCCCTAACCCTCAAGCGGGCCTTGCTAACTCGGGCAGAGCAGACGAGCTGACCCGTGTCCCCCAGGGCGCCCCCTGTTGTCCGTGTAAAAAGTTGCAGTTCCCACAGGCACAAAAACACAAAATCAGTGTACCTTATAAACGAAATCGGGGAAAAAAGAAGCTCTGTAAGACTTCGGTGACTATTCCTTCAGTCCAGCGGTACCCCTGTGTGAGCCACCGAGGTTTAAACAGCCGGGCCGCTGGGGAGAGGAGAGGACAGCAGGACACGGAGATACTGGGACACGCCGGACTGAGACGGGCCGGCACATTGACAGCTGCGATCGGTGCTGCCCGGGACCCACTGTGACCCGGCAAGCGGTATGCGTATCGAGGAACGACACTGGAAGTGTGAAAACAGGACGGGGACAGAAAGGTGTTTATTGATCCGTGACCACCCAGTCTTGTAGACGAGTCGCCAAGCCCACAGTTACCCGAAACAGAGCTGCGGGGGGCGGGGGGGGGGGGGGGGGGCGGTCCTCCTGCCCCCCCGCCCATGACCGAGGGCCGAGCTGCGCCTGCACCTGCCCTGTAAAGCCGAGCAGCTCTGAACGGAGAGGACTGCTGGAGATGGGCGATTCATCTAAAAAAAAAAAAAAAAAAAGAAATCTTTAAGGCGCAGCAGAGTCTGTGCGGGCGCGTGATGACTTACCCCTTGCCTCCCTGGGAGAGGGCTATACGACATCCTGCGCGGAGCCGAGCGGGGGGCTGTCACCGGGCCTCGGGCCTGGCGCTCCTGCTGCGGAGACGGTAACTAACGGCCCCGGCCCGCTGCCGCCCAGCGTGGCTCTCGCTCCGCAAGAGTGATGACGAGCTCTGCGCTCTCTAACAAGGGAGGGCTGAAAGAATATTAATGATACGGACTCATAAATTGCACTGCAGTTTTGTTTTTGTTTTTAAAACGCTGAGATTCCTCTCCTGGTTGACAGCAGTGGGAAATGCGGCTGGTGTTTTAAAAACATATCGACCCTCGGCGGATTTCAGCCTCGTCACATCGTTCAGGTCGTCAGGTCAGGCTCTGCAGGAGGGGTCCCGCGGGATTCAGAGGTCTGTGAGCTGCTCGCAGCAGCAGGACTGGACACCGAGCGCCGGCAGTGCAGGAGGGCGAGGGCCACAGCGCTGCTCGTCCCCGAGGCCGAGAGCCGGACGGGCCGGCGGCTCTCCACGGTTCCACCCCCAGCCGAGAGCGGTCCCGGGCCCGGCAGGACTCCGCCTTGCTGGCCCGACCCAGAGCGGACCGGAGAGGAGCTCCCGGACAGTTTAACCTCACGGCTCCCGCTCCCACACAGCACTCTACCCCACCCTACCCCACCCCACCCCACCCTGCACACGAAGCAGCAGGTGCAGGTTTATTCCCTGTGTCCGTTCTTCACCGGAGGAACCTCCAGAGCTGCAACGCTGCGTCTCTTTTTTTCCCCTTTTCGGCAGGAATAACCCTTTACTTGCTCTTTTCCAGCCAACGCATGCTGATGCAGCTCCCTGCTCGATCTTCATCACACAGAACGCAGGCTCACAGGTCGGTTTCACTGTCAAAGGCCTCGGACTTGGCCAGACTGTTCGCGCTGCAGGTCCAGAGTCTGCCCTCTGCTTGGACAGCTAGCGGAGGAGAGCCCAAGCAGTGCATCAGCACGGTGCCCACTGCACACCTGAGTTACAGCTAGCGCCAGCAAACCACAAAGTGCAATACATTCAAATTCAAGTCATGAAGCGCAATAAATACCGTTTGTTAAACTACAGCAATTCGCCAGGACTGTTTCTTGAGCACTTCGGCCCAGACCGAGCTGCAGACGTCCCAGTGCGTCACTAGGAGACCGTCTGTCCGCTGTACAGCCGAATCCGCAGTGCTGAGGAAAGCCCCTCCCTGGCCCAGCAGGGGTCAGAGGTCATCTTACTGGTCCTGTGATGAGTACTGAGCAGTGTCCGTGCAGGGGGTCCAGTCCTGGTCCTGGGGGGTCAGTGTCCGTGCAGGGGGTCCAGTCCTGGTTCTGGAGGGTCAGTGTGTCCGTGCAGGGGGTCCGGTCCTGGTCTTGGGGGGTCCAGTTCTGGTCCTGGGGGGTCAGTGTCTGTGCAGGGGGTCCAGTCCTAGTCCTGGGGGGTCAGTGTGTCCGTGCAGGGGGTCCGGTCCTGGTCTTGGGGGGTCCAGTCCTGGTTCTGGAGGGTCAGTGTGTCCGTGCAGGGGGTCCGGTCCTGGTCTTGGGGGGTCCAGTTCTGGTCCTGGGGGGTCAGTGTCTGTACAGGGGGTCCAGTCCTGGTCCTGGGGGGTCAGTGTGTCCATGCAGGGGGTCCGGTCCTGGTCTTGGGGGGTCCAGTCCTGGTTCTGGAGGGTCAGTGTGTCTGTACAGGGGGTCCAAGTTTCTTTACAGCAGCAGCACTAGAACTGGGCTGGGAGAAGCTGTTCAACTGCTCCAGGCACTGTAGGCCAGTAATAGGCTGGGCGGAAGACCTGTAGCCACACCAGGCCCGCGGGACCAGCCCGGGAGTCCTGAGCTCGGCGCGGTTCCGGGGAGGGCGGCGGAAGAGCGGGGAGCCGTCAGGAGAGAGAGCGCGCCTGACACTGAACAGCTGCTCGCCCTGTAAACTAACGTCATGATGCGAAGCAGCGGCCAGCGGCGCAGCTCCGCTGTCCCTGGCGGGCGGGGGGTGGGGGGGTGCGAGAGTGACCTCTGTGACCTCAGGCAAGCCCACCGGACCGCGACCCGCAGCGCTCCGCCCGGCCTGGGCAGGGGGCTGGTGTCCGGGCGCGCCGGCGTGAGGGACTGCGCTCTCTCCTGACGGGGGTAGAGGCAGAGAGGGGGACTACACACCTCTTCCCCCTCCTCCTTCTCCTTCTCCTCCTCCTCCTCCGCCTCCCCCCTGCTTACCGAGAAACGCAGCGCAGCGCAGTTTCCGAGCGAGAGAGAAAGTCTCCGGACTCTCAACTCCCGTCCTGCGCTGCTCTCGCCTCGCTGGGGTTCGGTGTGCGCTGTCGTCCGCCCGCCGACACGGAGCGCCTCTTCCTCCGCCGGTCCTCCCTCGGTCCCGGGACCGGCCGAGCCAGCCGGCGCGCTGCAGCCAGGGGAAAGGCGGCTCTCACGTGCCGCGCTTGCGGCTGATGAGCAGTTTCGGGGTTGCAGGAAAACCCCGATCAGTTCCGAACTTTTTTAAACTGATACGCACGCCTTAGATGTTTTCAAATACTGAGCGTAATACGTGCGAACTTATCCACTGTGCCTCAATACGAGGTCGGAAGTTGTGGATGATATTACTTCTGTCGTACACTAAAATGTTTGCGGGTGTCCTCGTCAATATCGTTGTTTGTATTTAACGGGCTACGACTGTGACCTGCAGATACGACACATCTGTGTTGTACGGTAACTTCGGAAGAAAAGGCAAGCGTCGGCAACGTGTTTAATTTGTCACAGCGTTCTTACAGCCGGACTGAGACATGGTAACAACAGCGATTTGGTGCGATACGGATTGTTTGAGAAATTAATCACTTGTCAGGCATGGGAACTACTTAGTAGGAGAAAACAGACTCTCTCAGCTATGTTCGCTAAAACTGATAGAATTAGTTCCAGTTCCAGGACAGAAACACACTTACCGCTCGTTAAAGGTAGAAAATAAACAAGTGTACAATGTGGCTGAGGCAAAACTGGGGTTGAAGCGGAAAAGAAACAGACCTTACTTAGAAACACTCAGTTTCCCTAAAGAGGGATATCGTGATTGCGGTCATTGAGCAGCGATGGTCGGAAGTCCTTCTAACAACGGCGGCATGCGGGTGCTGTCTCCGCCGGCGGCCGCGGGCGACAGGAAGCTGGAGTTCGTGGCTCTCACGGCCGTGCACACGGAGAGGAGCGAGCCGTCCACGCCGGAGCGGGGCCCCCTCTCCCACCGCACCGGACTGCTGGGGACCCCTCTGCCGGTGCCCCCCGGGTCAAGGCCGAACGGCTCCTCCAGCAGCAAGCGCTACAGGAAACTGCAGAACTGCCTGTACAACGTGCTGGAGAGACCGAGAGGATGGGCGTTCATCTACCACGCCTTCATGTGAGTTTATTATTGGTATTCTCCTTCTTCTTATTATTATTATTGTTGTTGTAGTTGTTGTTGTCGGTGGGTTCCGGGTGTGTTAGACGAGAACTGCACCTTGCTGTGTTTGTATCTGTAAAGAGCACTACAGTGGAGTAAGCGCAGTATGTGATCTCTTGAAGTTGAGGGGGTGTCGTTGCACTCAGCGGTGCAAACACTTCTGAGCACCCCGTCCGGACAGCACGAAGTGAGCGACACCCGTCCTCGGACCGCCGCCGGGTCCGTCTTGCGGAGCGGCTCGGATATAAGTTTGTCTGAAGAGCTGGGTTTTTTTACGAGCAAGTTCCGGGGCGATCGTTCTGCGCAGGCGAGTCGGGCTGGGCTGTGGAGCGCCAGTCCAGTCCTGAAAAGGTCAAACTGCGCCCACAGTGCCCACCCGGGCCGTGTGCTGGAGCAGCCTGGACTCTATATATAGGCGCATGTACAGCACGACACGGTGATTTAATGACCTCGAATTAGCAGGTCCGCATCGCAGACAGCGTGGCCCTCCCCCAGGTGAAGTATTGACAGTTCTCCCTGGGGCAGGGTTCGGTCCCCGGTCCTCCAGTTGTGTCAAGTTCACGGGACGGGACGCAGCCGAGCCGGGATCCGGGCAGACGCGCCACGAACCTGTGACTTTCTGCCAAGCGATACAATGTTATATATAACATATTATTATATCACCGTTGTTGTTAGTAGTATTATCGTCTCCAATAATAATAACTGCGAAATAATTCTGAAGTAACTTTTGTTGAATAGTTTAGACTGTAATAAGCAGGTTTATTGATCCCTGATCCCTTCTTCAGAGCCAGACGCAGGAAGAGCCCGCGGGCGAGGAAAAGATTAATCCGGCCGGGAATTTTAAAGGCGGCGCGCTCAGTGTGCTGTGTTGCATAATTGTTTTAATTAGCTTTAAGTAGCCCCGCTAAACCAACAGAACAGCCCTTTGTGTTCAGAGGCGAGCCGAGAGTCGCAGTGCGAGACACTCTCCTGCGGGGGGAGGACCGCCCGGTGAGGGAAGAGCGCTTGAACCCCGGGTCTGTGACAGGCGGGCGGGTGTCTCTTCCGCTAGCAGGAGCTCTTAATGGATGCATTCCGCTACACGGCTGCCTTCGCCAGATCTGCGACTGTTTTATTGGTTTGTTATGAAGATGTCGGTCTTTCGATTAACCCTGGTTAAGAATTTCAGTTCAATGAAAATGTCTTTGTATTGGGCAGACGTGCAAATAAGCATTTCATTCCACCCGTGCACATGACACTGAACTGACCTGACCCAAACTGAAATCTTAGCATCCTTATGAACTGTACATATCCCTCTAAGGATACATATTGGGCAGATTCATAACACCATGATGAGAACACTGGACTTGAAGCACAAGCACCTCATCACAGGCCCTACCTGTATACTGGACAAGTTTCTGCATTTCACTCTTCCAGCGGGTGGTGGGAGTTCAGCTCGGCAGCTGCGGTGATCAGTGATCAGCTAGCCCTTCATCCAGTCTCGGCGCTGTGTCACGCCGATAGGGCCTTATAAGGGCGAGACAGCCGTCTGTAGTCGCTGACTTTGATTAGGAGGGTGTACCTAGTACCGCTGATGAGCCACTGAGACCAGCGATGTGCCTCTCACATGCTTGAAGGTCTCAGCTCTTTGTCTTTAGCGCCTGAAGAGCTGGATCAAGTTGCTGTCGTTATCTGAGCTCAGTGGAAACCTGGAGACCCTGTGTGATTCCACTGGACTCCACACAGCTTCAGTCGACTGGTCAGGGAGCTGAAGTCAGAGGTGACCAGCGCTGCCCTGCTGGGCTCTAAGGTGGCAGCAGTGTCTTCGGTCAGGGGCTGAAGGTCACTATTGTGTTGTCTAATTTAGCCCATAATCACTCAGCTCTAAACACACTAGTGCTCTGTGGGACCAGTGGTGAGAGACCACTTCCTTAACAGGTTTCTTTTGATCAGAACTAAGGGAAGTACCACTAATTAAGCACTTAATTACCTCTATCAGTCAATTTGCCAGGAGCCGTGCTGCTGTCGATCTGTGTGAGCCGAGCCTCGGATGCTGGAGCTCACTGTACTGCGCTGGGACACCTCAGCAGAGCTTAATAATAATAGGCTTTCAAGTGCTGTAAACGATTGCGTGAAAAATATTTTCCCCTCTGAAAAAAAGTCAATGTCTGTTCTTTGGGGTTGTTTATAAGCATTGCATGTCTAATAATTAAAGCCATATAAACACACGCACAGGCCCGAACGAAAACAAGACAGAGCACGCGCCAACTCTGTACATTAACTGAATGCCGGGCAGGACTTAAACGCTTATCTGAATCATGTACTGTGTGACACGTAATTCATCTCGGCCACACAACAGCAGCTTACCGGGTGCAGATTGAAAACAAGAACTTGCTTGTGACCAGCTAATAAGGGCAATAGGATGAGGGTTTCTCGTTCAGCTTGCAACTTGAAAATAAAGACTCTTTTTTTATATTACTGTGAATGGTGATGCAAGTTTGTCTTCAGCTCAGGTTTGGACATGGTACTGGCCCCTGCTCAGAGGCCCGGGAGTGAACCGGGGCTCAGCAGGCTCAGAACCCAGCGGAGAGCTCTGTGCCAGCTTGCACAGCAGGGCCTTGTGACTCGCAGTCACCTGTCACTGGGGCCACTCAGCCAAACAACACTTTCCCAGGGGTTTCTCCTGCACGTTCAGTGCAGTTCTATTCATTTTTGTTGCAGCTTTATATTTCTGAAAGGAAAAAAACATGCGTCAAGGTAAAATAAATAATCTGAAGTAAGTAACAGCAGTTTGTTTGTTTTTCTGTTGGCCCGTCTGAGATCTGTAAGCAGTTCAGGCAGTGGTGGGTCCCAGTCTGAGTGTGCTGGTTCTGTTGGAGGGGAGTGAGGCCCGGTCTGAGTCCAGTGGTTCTGGGAGAAGGAGGAGAGGCCCAGTCATTACTGTGCATTGGGAATACTGGGTCCAGCTGCCTCATTCACTGCTACAGTATGTCAATGGCTTAATTCTACATGAGAAGTGTCCTCCTTGTGCAGTTGATCATTAGTGGTGCTTACTCCCAGAGTACTCACAGGCTAATAATAGCTGGATACATTACTTGTGTTTTGTGACCCCTAATGTAACGGGTTCTGTCCTTATTAGTAGTGGCTGTGGTGCTACTATTCCTAATGTTACTGGCACTGGGGCAGCAGCACTGCTGCTACCGCGGGCGGCTGGATGTACCCCAGAACCCCAGTCTTGAGTGGAGAGACTGAGCCGAGCCTCTGGATCCTGCCCGGAGGGGGCCTGTAATCCCGGTCAGGGCGCGGAGTGGGGCCGGGAGGCGGAGCTATCCGGCAGCTGTCTCTGGACTTGTTCCTCAGCTGTTGGGCTGCAAACAGCTCGAGAAGCAGTAAAGCCCCCCACATTACTGACAGCGCCGCAGTGCTGTCACTGGCAGAGGTGCTAATCCTGCCACTGCAGCACGGACCAGCTGCAGCAGGGGCTGGGCTGGCCTGGCCTGGACAGAGCTGGACAAGGCTGGTCTGGGATGGACCGTGCTGGACTTGATCGCAGGGCAGATTGTTGGAACTGTGTTGTTGTGAGAAACGGTCCCATGGTTTCTGCAGGACTGGAGGGTCTGACGTCGGACCCTTGTCGGGGACTCTCTGGGCCGGGCTACCTAAAAATGTCTGGCTCAGTGAATTGACCCAGGACAGTCTGGAAATTGAGCAAGAGAGTGTCAGTGTGCCATGTCTGCTTGAGAGCTGCTGCTGTTTGAAGGGGCTGCTGAAATGGAGATGTTTTCAATTCTGAAGAGCCTCTTCAGCTCAAACAGCTTGAGATAAATACACCTCCTCCCTCCCTGCCGCGTGGGCCAGTTTCTGCCACTCCGAGGCAGAGAGACGTTACTGAAGGAACGGTGAAGCAAACTCCTGCGTTAACTGCAAGGGAGCCTGGGAGCCGGGCCGGGGAATCTCGCCCCGTGTTCGGGTGCAGTGCGGACAAATGAAGCTGCTGTTGCAGTCAACCCTCTCCTGCTGCGGGGAAGCGGCGTCCTGGCCTCGCGGAGCTCCGAGCAGCGCTGGAATGCTGGTTCCGTACCAGGTCACTTCTCGGGAATTGGCATCGCTTCTCCTTAATAGCACTGATACACAACCGAGGAGCGGGGAATAAATGCACAGGGATTGCACATGATGGAAATCGCTTTAGTGCGCGCTGGAACCCCACCAGGTTTAATAATTTAGCACCGGAGAAGAAGTCGTACGTCTGTCGGAAGGGCTGTGTGGGATCTGTGGGGGTGAAGTGGAAAGACCAGGCCCATCTGCGCCAGACAGACAGACAGACTGGCCTGCTGGGCAGTATAAAGAGAGGTGCCCCTGCACTGCTGCTTGGCCAGTTGGGTCTGAAGCTGGAGCTGCAGAAACTGTCTCCCCGCTTTCCATGGGCTCCTCCAGAGGGGAGGTGTCCCCCCATGCCCCACTTGTGATTCCTCTGCTCCGCGTGCCTTGGGAGAGGGAGGGCTGCGGCCAGAGAGGAGTTTAGCACCAGCGCCTGCTGTTGGCAGAGTGACCTCTGACCCAGTGTGCCAGAGAGGGGAGCGACAACAGGCCCCCCCGCACAGCTCCGTTTCTCCTCTTCTCAGCACATGGAAGACGAGCAGAGAGAGATCTCGGGCTGTGAAGGCATCTTTGATGTGATTTAAAATGCAGGATGAACTCTACTTTATGGGATTATTCAGTCTGGATCGCCACTCTATACCCTGTGATGGGGTCCCCCTGCAGGCTGCCTGTGATGGGGGTCCCCTCTCCTGGCCAAAGGATGAAGGAGGAGAGAGAGATCAGCCCGGCCTCTGGAAGTGGGAGCATGGAGATCAGGATCTGATATTTCAAGCCTGTGTTTGTCCACACTCCCTTCTCCCTCCATTAGTAATCCCTGCCGGAGAGCTGGGATCAGGAGTGCTGTATCCGTGCAGTCGGGGACTATCGACCGGTGCAGTGTA